ACTCATGTCTGGAATGTGACTTCTGACAGGACTGAAGATGTCTGTATTAGGGTTTAGCTGTGGGGTCTGGAAGGGGCTTCCTCTTGTCTGGGGCTGATTAGGTCCATGGTTAATATATCCTACCCGTGTAAAAGACAGTAAATCTTCCTTTAATGTATTTAATTCTCTTTGAAATTTACTAATCTTTTCCATTTGTTCCAGTTGCAACTGGTGCTGGTTTTCTTGCCACTGCTGTAGTCTCTCTTCTTGTTTATTTTATCATTGTTCTTGTTTCTTTTCTTTCTCCTCCAACTATTGCTGTAGTCTCTCTTCTTGTTTCTTTTCTTTTTCCTCCAACCACTGCTGTAATCTCTCTTCTTGTTCATTTTCTTTCTCCTCCAACCATTGCTGTAATCTCTCTTCTTGTTTCTTTTCTTTTTCCTCCAACAACTGCTGTAATCTTCTTGTTTATTTTGCTATTCAAGCTGCCACTGTTGCAGGTTTTCTTGCCACTGCTGTTGTCTCTCTTCTTGTTTCTTTTCTTTTTCCTCCAACAACTGCTGTAATCTCTCTTCTTGTTTCTTATCTCGTTCTTCTTGTTTCTTTCCTTTCTCCTCTAACCACTGCTTCTTTTCTTGTTTATTTTCTCGTTCTTCTTGTTTCTTTCCTTTCTCCTCTAACCACTGCTTCTTTTCTTGTTTATTTTCTCGTTCTTCTTGTTTCTTTTATTGTTCTTGTATTACTGCCATCAAATCTGCTAAGTCTTAGTTTGATTTGCCACTTCTTGTTTCCATCCCACTTCTGACACCAATTTGTTACGTATCTGTTTGTTTGTTAATTTCCGGTAAAATTCTTTCTGAGGAACTTCAGTGATACAAGTCCTTTCTTGATTAAACCAATTTATTCTTTCTCGATACAAACTTTTAGTACACAGTAATTCCACAGTCAGTACGTTTCATGTCACTTTAAACTTAATAACTTTTACAATACACACTATAAATCACAGTGATTCACAATCTCAAAACTTCGCTCTCTACATGTGCAAAACACACACACTAGCTCGAAACAGAATCGTAAATTACCCAAAAAAAACGTAACTACTGTTCGCTTAACTATCCCCTCGGCCTTTCTCTGCCAGGCTTATATACTAACAAAGAGGAGTCTCGTTCACACTCGAGCTTCCCCAATAATTCGAGAAACTCAGTCACGCATGTGCTAGCAGCATCATGTGACTTCCGCTGTCATAACATAACTTTTGTGAGGTTTATGAAAGATGCACCAATCATTTGAAATTGATCTTCAATAAAAATTTTAGAATTTCTAGCTTTGCACTGCATCTTACAATAAGTGAAAAAGGTACTTCAGCAAAAATTCTTTTAAATGCTAAAATTACATGGAATAACTACACATGGATCAGAATATGTCTAAATTTCAGAGCTGATGTTAGTAGTACATTCCACATTTTTGTTTTGAACACTTGTACCATATTTTTTCCTGCTAAATAATTTTGCTTTGTAAACAACTTTTCAATGATATGATTTTTAAGCAATGAGAAACAGTGTTGTGTAATGTGCTGATAAAACACCAAGGTTTTTGAAAAGCTTTTCAAGACATATGTCCACGATTCTAAACCAACTTTCCATAAAACTGTTTGTATCTCTGGCCAATGCATTTTTCAGCAACAATACAGTCCACAGAGTGAATACTGGTAAGTATGCTGTTGAAACTATTGGGGTCAGGTTATTTGAATAAAGTAATTATACTTACACAATATTTCCTCTCCAGTTCTATACCCTAATTATTTTATTGTTGTTTCTCATATAGAGGTAACAGATGCCTTGAAAAATATGAATGCTATTGCACTTCACGACTGTTATTGATGTTAGGTTCATCTTCCTTTTCAACTCCTACATAATCAATGATAATATGTACATTTTCTTTCCTTTCTAAAATAGTGTGAAGCATCATTTGTGCATTCAAACATACAATATCTGAAACTGTAAATCTAAAAAAACAAAGTTAGTACTCTATCAGCCATGTCCTTCATATTTATAAAAACCCAAGAACAAAGTTAAGAGAACAGTATGTTTATTTTTCACATTTATGTTAATGTGAGAACAATAGATGAGCTGAACAATAGTTACTTTTAGTATTTAAAAAATTATGATGGAATTTTGTAGTGGAAAAGTATTTAATCCCAACATTAGAAGTGATGAAGCACAAGTCATTATTGTACTTGACACATGTCCATTTAGTTTTCAGAGAGAATCTGGAGACTGTACAAGTAATTAATCATATGATACAGTTACACTTTTTTAACATATTATATGTGAGTTTGGTGTTGGAAAATTATTTAGTTCCAAACCTTAAAACACAGATCATTATTACACCACAGTAAAACATATATATATATATATAAAACAACAAACAGGAAAGGTTTTAATATGGAGAAAAAAAATTTATATAAAATATACAGAAAGGAAGAAAGAAGTAAATTTTAAAACAGTTAGGAATAAAAATTAATATATCAAAACAAGGAGAGCTTAAAGAAACTGAGGATATTACTTAGACTTGGATGTTCATTTGAGATACATAGACTTTCTTTGACCAGAAGCTAGTAGTTTGAAGATCCTGATGTCAGAATTTTGAAGTTATCAAGTGATAAAGGGTGTTTACTAATTTGACAGTGTGTTTGAATGGGGTAAGCTCATGGACTTTAGAGTGGTTGACCAGTTCTACTTGAAACTCCTGTATGTTCATGGACACATATTTTTAACTGCATTTTGTTTTGTCAATATAGGTGGCTTTAAAGTCACCACAAGTGTATTTTTTTAAAACCCATGAACATAAAGGAGTAAATAGAATGTTTTTAGTTTTAAAGAAGTTGCAAACTTGGAAAAACAGATCTGAAAACTGTTTTACTGTAGTGATTCTTTTTTAAATTAGAATTCATTTTCTGTCTAATGAGTCTATATTATAAGTCATTACACATGATGTGTGTTTGTTTTTTACGATGAATCTGAAGATTGTACCAGTTGTTATTCATGTGTGACATAATTACGTATATCTTAAGAAAAGTTTGTATTAGTTTTCACTGTGAAGAGCATTTGGTTGAAAAGTTATAAATGTTCAAACAAAGGTTTTTACATAAATGGCACGTCTGTTTTTTGTGGATAATGTGAAGAATATACCTAAAATCATAAATAATACTCAACGTTAAACTGGTACACAGTTAAAAACATTTTATTTAGGCCT